TTCAAGGTATATTACTCCTGTTGTCGTAGAAGATTACGTATAGAAGCTCCAAAAACATATTTATTTCCTCCCTCTCTCTCTCTCTCTCTCTCCCCCTCTTACTGGGTCACGGTGACTCGAGCCAAACTCAGCAAACTGTTTCAAAATCGCTACTGTATTTCTGTCGCGTGTTTAAATGTTGTACAGGAAAATGGTGGGTGATAAACATGGGTGATTTTCTTGCGTTCAACATTTATTTAACTTTTTGTATTTATATGTTTTTGTCTAAGGAAGGAAATTTAGGTGTGATTACCATGGCTCGTTGATGGTATTTTCATATATCAAGGTTAGTTGTCATGTATAGATTAATTTATTACTATATTTTCATTATTAAATATGGGTTATGTTATACTATTAGAGCAGGTACAGTTATAGTGCTAGCAGGTACAGTTATATTATTAACAGGTACAGTTATATTACTACCAGTTCATGTGGGAGGGAAAATGTACCAGGTATATTTTAATTAACCTGGCCGTACAGAGACACAGGTGTGGGTGTGGGTCTGTGTTAATTACTCTCTTGTACACCTTGTGATGGTAACCGTGTCATGTCAACAGCCAGCAGGGAGGGGGAGAGGGAGGGAGGGAAGAGAGAAGGATGGAAAGAGGGAGAGAGAAACGAAAGGAAGGAGGGAAGAAAAGAGGGAGAGAGAAAGGGAAGGAATGAGGGAAGAAGGGCGAGAAGGAGGGAGGGAAGATGGAGAACGTGAATGAGGGAAAGAGGCAAGAGGAGTGAGAAGGAGGTGAAGGAAGGAGGGAGGGAGGGAAAGATGGATGGAGGAGGAGAGGGAGAGAAGGAATGAACGTGGGGTGGAATAATACACAATGGTCTAGTGGCTACAACCTCGCCTCCTGGAGTAAATATATAGAATTTTAGACCATGGTACTATTGTTGTTGTTGTTGTTGTTGTTGTTGTTGTTTATTGTTGTTGTTTGTTGTTGTTCTTGTTTATTGTTGTTGTTTATTGTTGTTGTTCTTGTTGTTGTTTGTTGTTGAGAGTATAGTGTTAATCCAATCATACAATTTATTGAGGGAATATTAACACAAGGGCCGAGGGAGAGGGGAGGAGCCGAGGGAGGGGGTGAGGAGCCGAGGGAGGGGATGAGGAGCCGAGGGAGGGGGAGGCTGAGGGAGGGGGAAGGAGCGAGGGAGGGGGAGGAGCTGAGGCAGGGGGAGGGGCTGTAGAGGGCAGGTGACCCGTGAAGAGAGGCACTGTATCTTAGGAGTAAGTGGAGTGGAGGATGTTGCATTAGGCGGGGGGTGTAGGGGGTACATGGGTGGGGGTGTGTGGGGGGGCATGTGGGTGGGGGGTGTGTGGGGGGGGTAGAGGAGCAAGGCATGGGTAGGGGGACATGTGGTTGGGGGATGTGTGTGTGGGGGGGTATGTGTGTCCACTTTTAAAATGGTATGGCTGACTGTTTTTCCAGTGTCGTCGTGGTCATCTGCCAGTGAGAGTTAACACACACACGTTGGTAACTAGTTAGACGGGCGTTACATCTAATGGACCCTTGTTGTAATAGACCTCTTGCCTCTAATAGGTCCCAGCTGTTGTGGGTCCCATGGGTAATAGCCCCTAACTTAACCAAACTTAACCTAACCCAACCTAACCTAACCGAACCGAACTAAACTTAACCTGTAAATTGAGAAATGTTTACACCAACACACCACCTCTGAGAAACCTTCACTTCGTTTACACTCTATTTTTTACTCTTTTCTCATTTATGTGTAAACAACCCTGGTGAGAGTGCCCTGTGTGTGTGTGTGTGTGTGTGTGTGTGTGTGTGTGTCGGGCGGGGAGTCAGCATGGTAAACACACAGTTGGCTGGAAGAAGCGGGTAGACTGCGTGTGAATGTTAGAGGTGACTGGAGAGGTTTGTTTGGTCTGTGAGTTAGTAAAGCACTGGGTGTTTGACTGGTCACTAAAGCACTGGGTGTTTGACTGGTCACTAAAGCACTGGGTATTTGACTGGTCACTAAAGCACTGGGTGTTTGACTGTGCCTCTTCTTACTGCCGTCCGGGATCGATCCTTCGCCTGCTGAGTTAATAACATAACACACGTGGAGATAAATGTACTGGAGACAATCTGAAGACGCTCTCTGAATCTTTCCTCTTCTCCTCCTCCTCTTTCACCTCCCCTTCCTTTTCTACCTCTTCCATCAATTGCTCTTCCTTCTCCTCCTCCTTCTCCAATACCTCCTTTTCTTCTCCCCCCTCCCCCTCCCCTCCCCCCTCCTGCCCCCTCCTCCCGGTTGCACTTGACGAAATAGTAACACCGGCTGCAGGCACACACTGGACTTTTTTCCTCACTACACCTGCGGTTCTTTTCAGGTACTGGAGGACAAAATACGACACTAGACGAAGAAATAAGACAAGCAGGTGAACTATGTTTGGTTAGGTTAGTTAGGCGATGGCAGTTCACACACACACACACACACACACACACACACCTTTCTTGACTTTATTTCTACATGATCTCAACTTCACAACTCAAGAAAAAATATTGTTGTACTGAGGCAGGTGGGAAGAGGAGGGAGGAGGGAGAGGGGAGGTGGGGAAGAGGAGGAGGGGGAGGAGGGGGAGGAGGAGGAGGGGGGAGGAGGAGGAGGGGAAGAGGAGGAGGGGGAAGAGGGAGGGGGGAGGTTGTTTGTTGGTGGGGTGAGTGATTGACAGGGTCGATGGTGTGTGTGCTTGCTTAAGTGAGGGCTGAAGGAGCGAGTTAGCTTATTCTGGGTGGTGTGTGTGTGTGTGTGTGTGTGTGTGTGTGTGTGTGTGTGTGTGTGTGTGTGTGTGTGTGTGTGTGTGTGTGTGTGTGTGTGTGTGTGGTAAAGCAGTGTTCCCCCACCCATAGGCGAACGAGAACAGGCAGGATGTTTCCTGGAGAGAGAGAGAGAGAGAGAGAGAGAGAGAGAGAGTTTTATTCACTGACCTGCACGTGTCTGTCTGTCAGTCCGCCACAGGCCACAGCAGACGCTCACAACCAAAACATTACACCTTGATGTTACCTTACCTCACCTGTCGTTTCCTCACCTCACCTGTCGTTTCTACACTGAGGGGCGATGGAGCATTAAACACCAGCATTCATGGTATACATTGCCTCACTCTCAACGATGTGGTGGCAATATAGACGAGGCCCTCCTGATGGTGTTGTCATAGTGGTGATGGTGGTGGTAGGTGCTAGTGGTATGATGATGGTGTTGGTAGGTGCTAGTGGTATGATGATGGTGTTGGTAGATGGTGTGTAACTTCTATACCAGGCAACAGTGGTGTCAGGAGTATGGTGTCTCAGGTTAGGTTAGGTTAGGTTCAGTATTGTGTAGCAACGTCCTAAGCGATAGTAGGAAAATCCGTTTGCCAGAAGTGTCTCTAATGACTGTATTGGTGTGTGTTTCTCAAGTGCTTATCTCTCAGGGCATGTAAGGCTGAGAATCCTATCTGAGAACTGTATTAGTGTGAGTCTCTCCTGTTGTGTGTGTGTATATCAAGAGCCTGCCTCCTCTCAGCTCCATATATCGTCAGCCGTTCTCAGCCGTTCTCAGCCTCTGTGTCTCATTTCAAATTTTCAGTATGGTTAACGAGCGTGTGTAGTGTGGGTCGGGTCCGAGTGCTGAGAAAATGGTTGGTGGTAATAACAGTGTTTATGTTGTGGTCGGTTACACTAATGAACTCTTACACTTGTTGCCTCCTGGTCTGGTCTTGGGGATGAGGGGAGAGGGCGCGGAGGTTTCAATCTGGTTTTCAATTGACGGATCATTGATTTTATGCTAATGCTCCTCGGTAATGGGTCTCTCCGTGAGCCGTAAAACCTCGCTGGCGGGCAGGTGAGGTTTAAGATATGTATATACCTGCAGAGACACACGCACAAATAAAAGGGAACGAAAGGGAGTGTTATTTTTGGTGGGAGAATGTAGATCGAATGTCGCCTCCACATCCAGCGTAGACCAGTGGTTATTTTTTTTTCCCCAGGATGATCAGTTGGGTCACATCCAGCATAGGTCCGTGTTTATCTTTGAATTAGCTTTTTTTTCCTAGGACTAATAATAATGATAATGTTATTGCATGCTGTTGAAATTATGTTAAGTTGGGTCGCGGGAAAATATGACTTAATTTTACGTTGAACAAATATTAATAATGTAACCAAGGCTTTTTTTTTTATTATGAATTTATTTTTATTTCATATTTATGTTTTACCTTGAGTAACACGATTTTTTTTTCAGGTGTTGTAACAAAAATTCTCCCTGTGTGTGTGCCTGTACTGAGACCACACACACACACACACACACACACACACACACACACACACACACACAGAAGTAATAAATAAGATATTTAACAAACAGTAAAAACAATAAATAGCTTTATTATCTTTATATACAAAATAGTGTGTGTGTGTGTGTGTGTGTGTGTGTGTGTGTTTGTGTGTGATCGTCATTAATGCTGGTGACAGTACCTGAATCATAACTAGCAATAGCATGACTATTATAAAGGAGGAGTTAAATAGCTCAGGTGAAATTAGGTTAATGAAGACGTGAGCAGGTTAATGTCACAGCGTCACGGGAGAGGTGAGATTTACCTCATTATATAACAATATTTAACTCACCTGTTAATTTGTAGACGAATGTGTGATCTGCTGCAGTGTGTGTGTGTGTGTGTGTGTGTTTGTCTCTCTCGGTGTGTGTATGTATGTATGTATGTATGTTATGTAGACATGTGATAGTAACCATACCACCTCACCTCTTCAAGACAACAGTGATAGCGAAACAAAGATGAACTAGAGATGACACAGCAATTGGGTCATTTTTTACAATATATAACTTTCACATTGTTGAACTAGTCGCTTTTATAATGCTGGGGGGCTGAGTCAATAGGTTGGTAGCCAGGGCCATTGTCTCCGGACCTGGCCATGCCCACCAGGTTCAGTAGCCAGGGCCATTGTCTCCGGACCTGGCCATGCCCACCAGGTTCAGTAGCCAGGGCCATTGTCTCCGGACCTGGCCATGCCCATCAGGTTCAGTAGCCAGGGCCATTGTCTCCGGACCTGGCCATGCCCACCAGGTTCAGTAGCCAGGGCCATTGTCTCCGGACCTGGCCATGCCCACCAGGTTCAGTAGCCAGGGCCATTGTCTCCGGACCTGGCCATGCCCACCAGGTTCAGTAGCCAGGGCCATTGTCTCCGGACCTGGTCATGCCCATCAGGTTCAGTAGCCAGGGCCATTGTCTCAGAGCGGGCCCATACCCATCATTTGGCGGTATATCTGCCTTTCAGCGTATCTACTAGTGCGTGGCAAAAGTTCACCTCACTTTTGTTCCTCTGTCATTAGCGGTGGTGTATCGTGTGAGGGGAGGGGGGGGTAAGGAGGGGGGAGGGGAGGAGGGGGGTAAGGAGGAGGGAAAGAGTATTGTGTGTAGTGGGGGTGTGGTGATGGTAAAGTCAGGATAATGTTGGTAGTATGGTGATGATGGTGATAAACTATGGTGCCCAGGTATGGTGTAATTAATCATCTTATAGTGTATGGTGATAGTGATGATAATAATACTTTGTTAATTGTTATCAATATTTACCATAAGATATATTGTAACAGGTATATTGTTATTGTGTATGTAGACGATGCTAACAAGGTCTTTATTTTACAGGTGAGGAGTGACCCGTGAGTGACGAGCCCAGTGTGGTGAGTGACGTGCCCTAGTGTGGTGAGTGACGTGTCCAGTGTGGTGAGTGACGTGCTCTACTGTAACGTCTTGTAGCGCCCTGTACTACAGTGTACTGTATCGTAGTTCTCTTCTCCCTTCACCTCTCCTTCCTACCCCTCTCTCCTCTCCTCTCCTCCCCTTTCCTCCTCCCTGTCACTCATTACTCATCCTCCTCTTTCCTCCCCTTCCTTCATTCCCCCTACCCTTTCCTCATCCCTCCCCCCTTCTCCTCACCTCTCTCCTCCTCACCCCTCACCCCCTCCTACAGTTCAGGTGAGACTACAGTTGCAATGAATACATACATACATACATACATACATACATACAGACATACACAATACATACATACATACTCGTTCCCTCACCACCAGTAGAAGAGGTGTGTTTCATCATGACCTGCCCCTTCCCCTCCCCTCCCCCTCTGTGGTCACCTGTGTGTGTTACCTCACCTGGGCTAGTTACGGTGTGCACCCCTCCATACTCCTTATTATTTTGTGGCATCATAGTAGACGGTAACCACCTCACGTTCTTCTCCTCCTCTCCTGCCTCCTCCTCTTCTTTTGTCTTCTTCCCCCCACCACTCCTCCTCCTCCTCCTCCTCCTCTTCCTTTGTCTTCTTCCCCCCACCTCTTCCTCCTCCTCCTCACGCGGGTGGTCACACTCGCCTGACAAGCCATCGTTACATCAGGCCAACATCACTGAAAATTTCACTAAGAGAGCGTCACCCCAAGAGGTCCTCGACGCTGATTGGTGGAGCCGGCTGTTAGTGGAGACCGCCCGGTGGTTGATGATTGTTCGGGGGTCATCTGTATGGTTGACGAGGCACCAACCATTATTAATCACCTGTTTTGTTTTTAATTACAGGTGGTTGGTTTAGTATCTGGTGTGTGGTTGGTTGTTATTGTGGTTGTTTTAAAGGTCACTGGTCTTTACCACCACCACGTGACCTCTAACAACCACATAAACAGTACTCAGGTGATCACGGGTAATTAATACCAAGGTGATTATGACCATCGTTTGACCTTTTATCATTAGCGTTATTATGGGCTGGAAGTAGACAGTGTTGGTAGTCTTCCCCCACAGATTTACATTCAGATTTACACTCAGATTTACCACCAGATTTACCATCAGATTTACCACCAGATTTACACTCAGATTTACCACCAGATTTACCCTCAGATTTACCACCAGATTTACCACCAGATTTACCACCAGATTTACCACCAGATTTACCATCAGATTTACCACCAGATTTACCACCAGATTTACCCTCAGATTTACCATCAGATTTACCATCAGATTTACCACCAGATTTACCACCAGATTTACCCTCAGATTTACCATCAGATTTACCATCAGATTTACCACCAGATTTACCACCAGATTTACACTCAGATTTACCCTCAGATTTACCACCAGATTTACCCTCAGATTTACCACCAGATTTACCATCAGATTTACCACCAGATTTACCCTCAGATTTACCACCAGATTTACCATCAGATTTACCATCAGATTTACCACCAGATTTACCCTCAGATTTACCCTCAGATTTACCACCAGATTTACCCCTCGTAGTACAGGTCGACGGGAGTTAGTTTATCCCCCCCCCCTTATATCCTGTGTGAGGTGAAGGAGCAGAGCGTCACGACGGCCAGAAGGGACGCACGTGGAGTTCCTGTCTACTTACTAAGACTTGGGTGATAAGAGGGCGAGAGGGCGAGAGGGCGAGAGGACGAGAGGGCGAGAGGACGAAAGGGCGAAAGGGCGAGAGGGCGAGAGGGCGAGAGGGCGAGATTGGCCGGGGAAGGGGGGGGGGTTGATGGTTGCCCAAAGTCCTCACCGTATAGGCAAGCGACTTAAACTATCAAACCTAATCTAACCTAACCTAACCTAACCTAACCTAACCTAGAGTAACTTAATATGTTAGTATGATGATCCCAGGTATAGTGAGTAGTTTAATATGACAGTATGGCTTAGTATGACCATAAGTTAACCATACTGAAGACAGCGTAATACCTGGCTGTGTAGTACTGTGGTAACACGTGTTTAATAGGTGTTGTGTAGGCTTGTGTTGACCCTGTTGGCGGAGGGGGGGGGTGGTGTACCATATTGCTCCTTACCTCCCTCACCTCTGTCCCTCGCTTCCTCACCTCTCCCTCGCCCCCTCACCTCTCCCTCACCCCCTCCTTCTCTCACACCTCCCTCACCACCATCTGAACCCATCAACATCAGAGGGGGGGGGCTGTATGGTCTAAAACAGTGGCTTGTATGTATGCTAATTTGAAGCTTATTGTTGCCTCGTGGGATGTCACTGTGTTGCTGCGACTCGCTTCACCGGCCAGAGTAAAGAGAGTTAAAGCAAAGCGGCCAGTGGGTTGCTGAGTCAGGCCCCGAGGTAAGGTACTATCGACCCTCTTGACTCCCGGCCATAGAGGTGGTTTTGGCCTGGTCGTCTCCTCACTACCGCTGTGTCGTAAGGCGGATAAAAATGAAAATGTAAAAAGAGGAACTTATTATAAAACTGTTGGTGGTCAACAAGTGGTGAAATAACGCGCCCATTCACCGTGGTGGGGTGTGTGTGTGTGTGTGTGTGTGTGTGTGTGTTTTAACAGGGGGGCGGTGCGTTGTGTCTCTGTTTTACTTGATGGCGATAATCCTTCTTAGTCTGTTCCTTCCTTCCTTCCTTCCTTCCTTCCTTCCTTCCTTCCTTCCTTCCTTCCCTCCTTCCCTCCTTCTCTCCTTCCCTCCTTCTCTCTCCCTCTCGTTTCCTGTGTCCCCCCCTCTCTTTATCTCCCTACACAAACCCACTCATTTTCTCGAAGACACCCCCACTCCCCACACTCCCAACTCCTGCCTCCCAACTCCTGCTCCTCCCCCAACTCCTGCTCCCTCCCCCACTTCCTCCCCACCCACCCCCCCCACACCTAACCCAACCAGTGTGACCAGATAAGCTGCTAAACCTCCGGTGTCACCACCTGTCCTGCTAGCTCACTGTTACCACCACCTCCACTATTCTCACTTCCCGTCACCATCCTCCCTCACCATCCCTCCCTCACCATCCCTCCCACACCATCCCTCCCACACCATCCCTCCCACACCATCCCTCCCACACCATCCTCCCTCACCATCCCTCCCACACCATCCCTCCCACACCATCCCTCCCACACCATCACCCAACCCAACCTGCATTAATTTCTGGACTTAAAAAAACATTAATCGTCTTTATTTGGTCTGAGAACTGTTGTGTTGTGGGTCTCTCTCTCTCTCTCTCTCTCTCTCTCTCTCTCTCTCTCTCTCTCTCTAATTACTTAATGCCACTATTATATATGAATCTTCTAATAATGCCTGGTGAAACTTGTGCATGACCGTAGACTTATATTAAGGCTAATTGTAAGTGTGGTAGAATTTGTAAGTGTGGTTAAGTGTGGTAGTATTTGTAAGTGTGGTTAAAAGTATGATATGTTTGACGTTATTGTTGGCGTTTTGGAGAGAGAGAGAGAGAGAGAGAGAGATAGAGAGAGAGAGAGAGAGAGCAGTTAACTTCACATAAAAAGAGTTAAGCTGGATCATAAATACGGGTTCCGTAGCCTCCCGTGGTGCTGTAGAGGGTCTGTGTCTGTCTGTCTGTCTGTCTGTCTCTTCTTTACACTTCCTCCTTCTCTTTTCTCCCTTCTTTTTTTTCTTCTCGTCTCTTCCTTCTTTCTCCTCCCCTCCCTTCCATCTTCCTCCCCTCCCTTCCATCTTCCTTCCCTCCCCCCCTCCTTCCCTCCCTCCCAGGGTCTACGGGAGGCGGTGAAAGTTGCGTTCGTGACCACCAGTTAACCGCAGTCAAGGACACCCGCAGATGACCGCACGCGGGATCTTGCTCCGTTGTAGGTTCTGGGGACTTCTCTGCGGTTAATTACTGTTGGGGGTGTGGGGAGGAGGGGGTGGGAGGGGGGGGTTGGTGGGGGGTGGAGGATAGTATGATGCCAAACACCTGATGGATAATTTAATAATTCAGTCTACCTGGATAACTTATAAGCGTTTAGTTAATATAATTGTATCATAATAATTCGTCTGGATAATTTATATACCGAGTAATATATAAACCAGGTGTGGTGATAAACGAGTTACTTAACGTAGGTGTGTGTGTGTTAGTCGGGTCATCCGGGTACTGTGTGGATAGTGGGTATAGTGTTAGTATCCGTTTGTTTGTTGCGGTGCGGGTAGGTTAGTCGGATAGGTGCAGGCCGCCAGGAGAAATGTGTTAAAAAGGAATGTGGGCGGACGGATGAGGGTGTGAGTGGGCGGGTGTGGGTGTGGGCGGTTGTGGTGGTGGGTGGATGAGGGTGTGAGCGGGCGGGTGTGGGTGTGGGCGGTTGTGGTGGTGGGTGGATGAGGGTGGGCGGTTGTGATGGTGGGCGGATGAGGGTGTGGGTGGTTTGTGGTGGTGGGCGGGTGAGGATGTGGGCGGTTGTGGTGGTGGGCGGGGGCTGTTATGCCACACGCCTCACCGCCCGTGACTCCTGCTGGCGGTCACTGTAAACAGACACACACACACACGCACACACACACACACACTTTCTTGTTGTGTACATAGTGTTAGGTTAGGTTAGGTTAGGTTAGGTTGGGTTAGGTGAGTTAAGCGCTAGATTAGTTTAAGCGTTAGATAAGGTTACTGCTAGGTTAGGTTAGATTAGGTTAGTGAGTTAGGTTAGGGTTGAGTTAGGTCTTAGTAGGTCAGTGAAAGTATATGTTAGGTCACTGGAGGTACAGTAGGTCATGTTTGTGTCGTGTTAATGTTAGGTCAAGTTAAATTTATGTTAAGTTAAGGTTCGGTTAATGTTAGGTTAGGTTGATGTGGTTATACAGTGAGAATTTTGCAGCCAGAAGATATTTGCTTAACACACTCCCTCGGTAACACACTTTTCACTCAACCTGAGATACTATTAACATACTCTCCAGGTAACACACTCCACACTCCCAGGTAACACACTCCCAGTTAACACACTCAACACACTCCCAGGTAACACACTCCACTTCAGGGCCCCGAGTGTGTTGTCACGTGAATATGGAAGTGTGTGAGACAGCCGTTAGAAAGGTAAAGTGTAGTTACAATATTAAGGTACAGGTCAGGGGAGGAGGAGGGCGGGTCACTGGTGCGGAACGGAATGTTTCAGCTTCGACCACCACTGCTGCCACTGCCACCACCTCTGCCACCACTACCTGCCACCACCATCCACCACTACCTGCCACCACCACCTGCCACTACCTGCTACCATCACCTGCCACCTCATTTGCCACCTGCCATCTCTGCCACCAATCCTGCCATTACTTCTACCACCAGTTCTGCCAACACCACCACACAGAGGCTCCCTACCACAGCACCTCCTCTTCCTCATGCGCTCACACCTTCCTCTGTCCACACTTCCTCCCCCCCCCGCCGCCCCCGCCCCGAGTCCGTCCACAACACGCCCCCCCCCCCACGCCCACGTCTTCCTGTGCCTTGGGTTGGTCCACGCCCTTTCCTGCATTACCGCCAGAGGCACCTACCTCCTCCAGGATTCCACAGTAGCCCAGACGTCTTCGTTGTATTGAGGGCTGACACGCAGGTTCTCCGTTACATCTACGGCGCCGACCACGAGCTTCCTGCGGCCAAGTATTAGCTTCTTGTAGGAGGCAGATATTCCTTCAGGACTCGGCATGTTGGACAGCTGTTCCTCGAAGCAACACACCTGTTATCACGAGAAGGAAGGAAGGAAGAGCGGGTGGAGGGGGCACTCTCCTGACCTGTGGTGGGGGAGAAGGGGGGAGCTCTCCAGGTTGGGGGTGGAGGAGAGGGAGCAATATCCTGACCAAGAGGTGTTGGGGAGAGGGGGGTAACACCTGGCCTGGGGAGGAGGTGTTGGGGAGAGGGGGGTAACACCTGGGCTGGGGAGGAGGTGTTGGGGAGAGGGGGGTAACACCTGGCCTGGGGAGGGGGAGGGTGTATATGTCAGGTCGAGTGTGCAAACTGTGAATCATCAGGTGGTGAGGCTGACCCTTGTGGGATCACCTGAAGATTAGACGTCCCAGCTTATTTCACCTGAGTAACCTAACGCTAATACAACCCTAACCTAACCTAACCTACTCTGCAACACAAATCATCCTCTTCTGCAACACTGAGAGAGAGAGACACAGTTGGAACACTGATGTATACTGTGTTGTATCGTGTCAGTGTCATCCAGCGTCAACTGTCGGGTGTAGTCAGGCAGGTGTGGGTGTTGCTGTGTAGTTAAGAGGGTGTCATTGTGTGTGTAGCTGCTCAAGACAACACCCAGCCCCTACACCTTCATCCACTCCTTCAGGATGATGGTGTCGGTGATAGTGATGGAGAGTGGTAATGGTGGTAGTAGTGGTGATGGTAGTGGTAGTTGTCCTGGTATGTAACTTAAGGCAACGACCTGACACTTGAGGCAACGACCTTACACATGAAGCAATGACCTGACACATGAAGCAATGACCTGACACTTGAGGCAACGACCTGACACTTGAGGCAACGAACCTGACACATGAAGCAATGACCTGACACTTGAGGCAATGACCTAACACATGAAGCAATGACCTGACACTTGAGGCAATGACCTGACACTGAGGCAACGACCTGACACTTGAGGCAATGACCTGACACATGAAGCAATGACCCTGACACTTGAGGCAACGACACACACACTTGAGGCAACGACGACACACACACTGGAAGACAAATTGAACTTGGACACCTGATGAGGCAAAACGACCTGACACATGAAGCAATGACCTGACACATGGAGGACACCAATTGACCTGACACATGAAGCAACTGACAACGACCTGACACTTGAGGCAAGGACACACATGACCTGATTACATGACAGACCTGACACATGAAGCAATGACCTGACACTTGAGTGCAATGAGACCACACACTTGAGGCAATGACCTGACACTTGAGGCAATGACCTAACACTTGAGGCAATGACCTAACACTTGAGGCTCTGGTCTTGTACTCATCTTAGGACTCAACACTTGTGCTCAGCTGGGCGTCTCGATCCGTTCTGCTTTTTGTAATGGAAATGCAAATGAGGGTCAGGTTCCGTGTTTCGGGGTGCAGGTAACTGGCTTAGGCCGGATAGGAACGAGCGTGGCGGATGATATATGCAGATTGACCCGGGCGGCGCCGTCAAGTAATAATAAGCAGTCCTGACTAAGCATTACTAGTGTATGTGAATTAAATACGACTTCAAAACAACACAAGGCCGCTTATTTATGAGTGGAGATGGATGAGGTTAAATAGTTCTGGATGTACGACGTGTGTTCCCCCCCGCCCTGAGAGAGCACGTTAATAATTGAGAGTGTACGATAGTTAGTGAGTGCAGCGTGGGGGAGTAATATCCTGGGGGAGGCACGATAACCCACGCTGGCTCACGATGTTCCAACCAAGAGGAAGGTATTGTGTGTTGGGAGGGTGACCTATCGACTGTTTATTTGTTAGTGCGTGTACGTGGCCGTGTATGGTGTTGAAGGGGTGTAGTGATGGTGTTAGCCGTGGTGTTGTGACCTATGAGTGATGGTGGTGTTGTGGCGGTGTTTTGATGTAGTGGAAGGAGGGAGAAGGTAGAGAATGAAGTGGGTAAGAGAGGGAGGGAGGGAAGAGGATGATAATGGAGAAATGAGAAGAATGAAACAAACCAATACTGCTGTTATGTTCTCTGGTTATACGAAGGAGAGAGAGAGAGAGAGAGAGAGAGAGAGAGAGAGAGAGAGAGAGAGAGAGAGAGAGAGAGAGAGAGAGACTAATACTAAGCATAAATTAATTAATCATAAAAATCATACCTGGTCATCACACACACACACACACACACACACACACACACACATCTCCCTTAACAGCTGCTTATTATGAGTGAAAAATAAGACATTATTTTCCTGACTACAAGAGAAAACTTTCATAAACTTTCTCCTGTTCAGTGACACACTCGTTCAATACCGTAATTGAACATCTGTCGGTGACGTGATTGATTGACTGAGTGACTGGCTGATGGTGATTGACTGTCGCTTCACCTAACTGTATTATAACTGTGAGATATCCACGGGTCACTGCCTCGCTGCCTGACTGTCAATCTCTGTGCCACTCTTTAAAACAGAGAAAAAAATATTTAAACTCATTCATAAAATACAGTTAGTGTGTATTGCTCGTATGTGTGGAAGAATTAACGTTGCTAGTTAGTCGACATAAAATAACGACCTCCCCAAAATAGCATTACTATTATACTGAGATTCTTACATTAACTAGATACGTTCACTTAACACTAGATAAGATTAATGTCAAGTCTATCAAAAGATGTATGTATGTATGTTAGTTAGTTAGTCTCTTCACACTACACAGCTTCTAAAACTGTTATCTCTGGGTTATTCAGAAGACGTGTGTGTGTGTGTGTGTGTGTCTGTGTAAAAGGAGACGCTATGCTATCGTACAGTTGCTGGGTGTTGACGTGCCGTGTGAAACATTATCGTATGTATAGGTTCTCTTGCCACTATGCTATCGTACAGTTGCTGGGTGTTGACGTGCCGTGTGAAACATTATCGTATGTATAGGTTCTCTTGCCACTATGCTATCGTACAGTTGCTGGGTGTTGACGTGCCGTGTGACACATTATCGTACGTATAGGTTCTCTTGCCACTATTACAGTACAGTTTAACTTTAATTTACACTGAGGGAAAACTGTTAGTAAGTTGTTCAGATGACAGTATTGTTGACAGGCAGTGTACTATAAAGTGTCCTCACGAACACCACATCCTTGCCCGGGGTGTTTGACGCTGTGTGTGTGTTGGTGTGGCTTAAGACAACATTACCTTGCATAGTTGTGTTGGTGATGGTCACACTCTCATGTTATCGTACGCTGCGTGTTTGTGTTTTATCGTGTGTTGAGGTGTGTTATCGTACCTATGGTGTTGGAGGTTAGTGCTTGTGGAGATTATTATCGTACAGGAGAGGTTGTGTGTTTACGTTTGCTCATAAGTTATCGTACGTGAGTTAACGTACTTAATATATCGTACACTTACATGAGTTTACCTACTTAATATATCGTACACAAGTTATCGTACATACATCAACTATTAATGTGCATAGCGTGTGATCGTAAAATAACAAACCAAGGGAAACATAAATTTTATAAAATAGTGATAATATAAAGACGTAATGTAACCCGTAAGTAAATCTCTTAAAGCGGTGAGTCTACATTCTTCGTTTTTTCTTGAGTTAAATGACCCTTTAAACTTAAAAGAACGAAAAATTGTGGATATTTGTCTTAACAATTCGTGTATTTTTATATTATGCGTAGGGGAGAAAGCCCGTTATATCGAGGGGTATGTTAGATATGAAACCACCTCTTTATAACGAATAAGGATAATTATAATAGGACATTATTTACTTAACCATTTTTTTTAAGTTTCACAAAATACAACACGGAGCTAGTAAATAGTGCACCGTTGACACCCATTCTTCACATTTCATTCATCTCATAAAGTTAATGCCATTGAGGAAGTCGGACGTGTGTAAGATGTGGTGTGGGGTGAGAGCGGGGGAAAAATGGTGGTAGCGTGGGAAAAAAACTGTGAGTGTTGGGAAAAAAGGGCGAGTGGTGGGAAAAATGTGGTCAGGTGTTTTGTGATGAGCCAGAGACCAGGAACTACGGCGTCCAGGAAGAGGGGATAGGGGGTAGGAAGAGGAGGAGGAGGAAGAGGAAGAGGAGGAGCAGGAGGACGATGATTCCATGTCGAGACTTGAATATGAGAGAGAGAGAGAGAGAGAGAGAGAGAGAGAGAGAGAGAGAGAGAGAGAGAGAGAGAGTCAGTCTTAACCCTCCTCCCTCCCCTCAGTGCCAAGACCCGCCCACCATATGTGCCAGTGAAGGAATAACACATTACATCAACCTATGTGCTCATTACACCTTATTGTTTAACCTCACGTGAATATTAGGTGTTGGTAATTTGTCATCTTGTTGTAATACATAGTAGGAGTGAGTGTCATGTTTGGCTGTCATATGCAGTGTCATGTCTGGCTATATTGTGTCATGTCTGGTTATATAGTGTCATGTCTGGTTGTCATATAGTCATGTCTTGAGTGTCTTGTATAGTGTCATGTTTTATTCCTATGCGGAGTGTCATGTGTGTGTGTCATTACCTGCCCCTTGACACACCTCCTGTAAGCTAGTGTCACCCTCATCAGCCAGGGTCGCCAGGTGTGTGTGTCAGGTAATGAAGGGCTACCTGTTGGCCATTATGAGGCTGTGGGAGTTTATTTGTTTCGATTTTTATGAGAATGTCGCCAGATTACTAGTTGTCGGGTGTACGTGTTCATATTGGTCGTCTACACACACACACACACACACACACACACACACACACACACACACACACACCACTCACCTACCCCCCACCCACCCACCCACCCAAGGCCGTCTACCATCTTATACAGTACTAAATCAGGATTATAAAGAGTTTACAGGTAACCCACGCATGAGTTACTTCACATTCATGGTAGAAATAATAATCCTACATCTCTCCCGAAGGCGGCGTCCACCACAAGAGACCTGCTGAGGGTGGTGGCCGAGAGAATTGGTCACAGGTCTTGTCTCTTTAGCCCAACCACCTGATAAAACATTCCATTCCTCTATAGACAACA